TCATAGCACCGCTACCTGCTATTAAACCACCTTTTATCGATTGATGTACTGTCACTTTCATTTCTTCTTCCTCAGCTAAAAGTGCCAACAATCGTACTAAGTCTTCAGCACTCACAGGCATTTTGCTTTATCTTTGAAATCGACTGAAATATAATGATTACATTTTATCTTATTTTTCATTTCACGTATTTTTAAAAACTTAGTTTAACGCTTTCCATATATGGAAAAAACTTTACATTACAGTTTATTGGTTGGAAAATATTCATCATTGGAAAAAAAATGGCTGCACTGGAGTTATGTGATACGACTTCAGTCAATGACCTTGTAAACTCAATACCTAAGCAGGTGGGATCCACCTCATCCCACAACCAATTCGGTTAGGTGGAAAGCCAAAATTGTTTTGTAACAAAGATTGATTTTTGATGTGCCACCAGTGGTTGGGTTGGGTTTAACCAAGGCCAGCTTAACCTACATATATTCACCAGACAGGTATTGATTACTCAACACAATTGGTCTAGTCATTGGCATCTGGGTACTAGGATACACAAATATTGAGTTGTAGCTCAGTAACTCTTGGTTTCGCTTTGGTTCGTTTTTTTTATTGCCAAGTAGAAATAATATAGGCCTAGCTACCCCCCGCCCCTAAAAAAACGAACTACAGCGTATCCAAGACTAAGTTGCTAAGAGCTATAAAACTGTGAATAATAAATGCCATAACTGTCAAGTAGTACTAACAGATAAACATGATAAAAGAAATACGCCAATCCGAATTTGTTTTGTTTGTTTAACAGGTAAATAAAACGATTACGCATTTAGGAAATTAAAAGAAGTACGCTTTTTGTTAGTATTTTGTCGATTGTTTAGTGCAATCTATGAGCAGACAGACGACAGCCACATAGTTTAATTCAGGGCAGTGCATAAGAACAATTCAACGGCATGTGGTTAACCCTTATTAGTCTTACTGTTAATGGTGTTACATTATTGCGTATAAAACATTTCAGAGCGAACTTTGAAGGAGACTGCGATACATCTATCTAACTGAGGTACCACAGGCGGTACAAACTCACCTATTTAGTATCACAATGCTTCATCAGCTAGAATTGTCACCGACTTCTCCCTGCTGATTGTTAGTAAATTCATACAGCCAAGATGTACGTATAATGCTGCAGTGGTTATTATCGCATGTAGTTTACGATTCTATCAACTATAATATGTGATTATGTTATTAATGCAATATAATTATCGGAGAGATATTGCCAGCTGTCGGTCTCGTTGCTCGTATGTAAATATGCAGGGACTCTGCACGATATGCAAATTAGAACATTGACAACACAAATCCGATGACGTGGATATACTTGCTGACTTCCGGGTTTACTCCCGCTCTGTCGTTCAACATATTGCATCATGCGAAATTCATGACAATGACTTCATAAATATTGGTTTACAAATTTTAGATTTTATGCTTTAAACAAATGTATGCGTTTTATGAGATAATGTTTAGAGTTTAAAAAAAATCATTGACTGCTCGAGTTTAGCCGTGGGTTTGCATAATTTGACAACCACCATGAGATGATCACGTGCGATTTGTTTTGGTTGGCAGCACTCGCCACGAGGAAAGGGCGTACTATTTTGAGGGACTAATATTTCGCCGCCGAAATGATTAAATATGTTCAAAATTGTGTTATTTTTTTTGTAAAAAGTTAAAAAATAGAGTTATATTGGAGATATAGACGATAACAATATGTTTGTATCATCCAAGGTGTTATACTTATGTACATGTCACCCCCTCATGTAAAATGAACTGCCTCATAAATATTCATATATCCTTATAAGGCGCGCACAGCTGATTGAATGTGCCGATACAAACACTTTGACAGAACGTCAACAAAGAGGCTACCCAAATACAGCTGAAATTGTTGTGTAATCGTCTGTATATTATCTACGTTTGTGTTGCTATTTCGCTAAGATCCGTTGCCTAAGAAGCATCCTCATCAACTTCTGTCGATAATTTACACTAATACTCTTCTTACAAGGTAAGTTAATGTATAAAATCGGTGTTTTTCGGGCTCATCCAGAAAAAAATTCTAACGTATATTTTCACCCGTACGCGGGCTCTTGATCGACGATATTCGATTTGACCTCCACGTAAACCGCCGACTAGATCTTCTTTGTTTCTACCAATCGACATTTTTTCATTCACACAACTTAATTCGCACCTCTTTTGACTGTGTTATTTTGTGAAATGCACCATAATTCGTATTTGCTAACAGGGTTGTTGAGGAAAATTCCCAAAGGTCACTCTTACCGTTTGATGAGGCCGGTTCGTTAGTAACCGGCGCTCTCGTATTAATAGACACTGGGCACTGTGAAAACGCCCTTTTCTCTCGAGCTTTAAAATTGGAATTTAGACAATATTTCTGCATGATGCTGGAAATTGGGAAATTTGATTATTCAAGACCAAGTCTACCCTGAAATGCATTATTTTATCGGTGAAAAATGTTTTCTGAATAATGTTGACAAAAAAAAAAAAAAAAAAAAAAAAACGATTTCTCAAACACTGCCAACATAAACTGCTATTGTCGTCGGGCACAGGACGGGGGTATTTTACTTAACTTTATCCGATTAATTACTATGTAGATGCCTAAATAAATCACCATTGCAGCCTCCAATCTTTATTCGATGTACGATTTCCATTGCACTGTGGAGATTGCATTTGGTTTGGAAATATTGCATGTAATCAAAAATAGCCTGCTCTGTATTCATATGCAAAATTTAACTCCACGGTAAAGACAAATTTCAGCAATTTCAACTAATGAAATGTACATGGTACGAACTGATTATTTTGCACTGACCGGGTGTGACAGTGTACGTGCAGTGATATTTTAAGCCACGTAAGAAAATAATACTTCCCAGAGTGTTGACATGGCAACACAGAGATTCGACTTATTTTGTGGGAAAACTATTTGGCATTAATTTAAAACTGCGGAAAACAACGCAAATTTCATTTTTGTTATTTTTGTTCCATCTCTTAAAACATTCTTGCATATGAAATTGTGCTTGGTTTCATCATTGTATGTAAAGTGGCCGGCTTTGTTGGACGAACTGTGACTTTTTACCGGTGTCGTTGTTATGTAAATTAAATTCATGAATAATTAATCATTTTGCCGATGTCAACAAACATCGTACGCACACAAATAAATCTGACTACGTAGTTTGAAATTGAAGTACAATATGCGTACTGCGTAAGTGACAGTGTTCTCAAGTTTAGTTGCAATAAGAACCAAAACAACCTTTCTAAAACCGCAGAAACAGTAAAAATCATCAGTAAGTACAGATTTACTTATCAAGTCATCAAAATTATCTTGTCCGTGTGTTATGGCTCTTTAAATAGTATGTTGAAATGGGAGTCTGTGGTGTCACTGCTATGAACTTATGAACACAGCAAAATTTTTTAGTAAGACTGACAGTTTCACATGTAAAATTATTTGAATACAAAAATAACAGGACTTCAACTCTAAGGGTAATCCATAATGATCATAGGGCTACATTATTGACACACTTGAATGCATCCCAGAACCCAGTTATAGTGTCAGGTTATCAATGGAAACAAGTTGGATTACATGTACCTGGTAACCCATGGCCTTAAATGGAGCAAGGTCACACTTATGAGATGTTTATATAAATTTATTTATAGCGAAGCGAGTTCATATCACTTCTAGTGCTATGATTGTTAACAAGGCTGTATTGTATTATATTTTCATGAATTTTTAAATTCATTCAAGATATATTTTTAAAAAGTCTTTCAAATTTGATTTGATTTTGACCTTGAAATTTATATTCCAATCATAATATACAGTGACACAAAGACTAAATTGCTTGCCAATTAACAGTGTATTATCTATGACTGAAATATAATATGTCAAACATTAAAGTATTAACAGTTAATTAAAACATAGTATTAAAAACCTTTGACAATAGTTGTTTAAAAGCCATACATACTAAACATGCCAGAAAAGAGTTTATAACAATGGCAACTACACACCACATTAGGCAATCTGACAATGAACTTTGTCTGCACAAAAAACTTACTACCTCTGATAAGTCTGATATTGGCCAATAGCCAGACAGACTATTAATGTATCTACTTTTCATTTTATAACCACCAGTTAATTCATAGCCACACATCCAGGCCAGCTGTATTACACACATAAAAACGACTGCAAGTTGTCCATCAACCCAACTCTGGTACAAGAGTTCAATTTTTCATAACTTAACTTCTGCAGCATTGCCACTCATAATTACTATATTTCTATTATTTGGAACATTAAATTTTGTTTAGTCTTCACACATAAGAAAAAAATGATTAACAATTTGGAACATTAATAGATAAAAACTGTACACAACATCAATAATAATATTTACATTGTTTCCCTATATTAAGAGAATTCAATTCAATTAAAGCTCAAAGTTGCTTTGTATTAATGTTGTGTTAAAAAACCCTCGTAGTAAATGGCTGCATACAACTATGGTACATGTAAATAATATGTGTATTGCGACCTTAAGGGTAGATATTTAAATATTGATGCGTATTTGACCCTTTGACCCCATAATGTTTTCAACTGTACAGGCTGCTTGCTTTGTTTGTGTGTGGCAACAAATATTCTTATCCTTGCACATATTTCTAGTTACAGATAAATATTTACGTTTTGTTGTATTTTTTAAAACGGTATCATTTTTGTTTGCCTTTATAGAGCTATACCTTTCACCTCCGCCTGTCAGTATATTTTGGTTAACAGTGTGTATTATTAGAACTATACATACACACAGCAAATTATAAGTTGAGTTCTTCTTTGTAGGGGGGGGGGGGGGGTGGTGTTCAAATTACAATAGGCCTAATGATACGGTGCTTCCAGTAATGTTTATGAGAAGGTGCAAGCAAATACAGTACAATAGATCATAATGACAGTGGATGGTCTCATCTTTTTATATGTATTAATAGAAAATATCCATCTTTGGTTACGACCTTGGGAGCATTGTTCCTTATCAAATTAATTGAGAAAAGAGAATTACAACTTATAAATGATACAGCCAAATTATACCAAGTTTTATGTTGACACTGTCAATTTCGTTAAGTCCCGTAAAATCTGTATTAGAAGCCACAACCCTAATAGAAGTCACACCCATTCTTTTTGAATAAAATTCATCATTTTTCATATGTGTAGATGCTCTAATGGTAGCCGCATCCCTTCTGTTGCATTGTACCATTTTAATAGAAGCCACGGTTTCTATTACAGATTTTATAGTAATGTTAAAATGATAAATTTTTAATATACTGTAAAACGTTTTAATTTCTGTCGCTATAGCAATTCAATAATTTGAATGTATCCTGAATGAAATTTTCAATGTTAAGGTAAAATCTGTATTAGAAGCCGCATCTCTAATATAAGTCGCACCCATTCTTTTTGAGCAATTGAGTACCGAACATTCACAATTTCTCATACGTGTAGATGCTTTAATTGAAGCCGCATCCCTTCTGTTGCATCGTACCATTTTAATAGAAGCCACAGCTTCTAATAGAGATTTTACAGTATATCATATTTGAACACAAAAATTTTGCTTTTCTATTAAAGCTGAATATTATTCATAGATATTATCTCTATATAATCATCTGGATTTTGACACATTGCATGGACAAGTGCTTGAACATCTCCCGTATCTAGCTAGGTTAACTCTTTGAATGTCAATTTCGCACAAAATAAATCTGCATAATTCGTTTCCAGACTTTTTCCAACAATTTGATTAAGGCCTGAATAGAAGAAATAGTTCCACTTGGTTCAAACTTAAAGAAATTATAGAAAAAATACATACAAATCTACAAAGTGTTAAAATTTGAAACCACTTGAACTTTTTTGTTGGTTAGTACACAGTCCCTCTATGATAGAGGGACTATGGTTAGTAGTTGAAATATTACATGTTTTACATTCATACCAAGAACACTTCATTATCCATTGTTGGTCATTGCCGTGGTGGACGTGTGAAAGAGAGTCAGAGGGTTATTAGGTTCATAACGAGGCAGAGATCTAGGTACTTCAGACTAACCTTTTAACACCTCTTAAAGTCAGTGTAATTCAAACTTGTCACTGTGCATGTATATGACACATGGGTTGGAATAATCATGGCCTGAGTCATTGTGGTACATCATGATTATATTCGTATTGTCTAGATGCAAATTAATACAGACTCTCAGATTTACCATTTTGCTTATTTCTTCCCTTGCAGCAACCAAGTATATATCAATTTTATTCAAGAGAAAAAATGTTGAGCGGAATTTCAAGTTACATTTTTGGTGCTACTGAAGACCAGTCTGTTCCGGACAATGAAAATGTGCAGTTGCAGACATCGGATGCTGAAAATGAGTGGGTTCTCGTTGATATTGCAGGTAAATTGTGATTTTGTTTTGCATGTTTTGAAAACCAAAGTGTGTGATCAAAATTAATTAGTATTATCTCGCTCCATTAACCTGTAGATCTATCTAGTACACATGAAATCTGTTAAGTTTTTGCAACTTCAAACTTTCGCAATTTCATATTGGAGTGCGTTTTTATGGCTTCCATAATTAACAAAAATAAGAGTGGTGTACAGTAGTATCAGTGGTGTTAGTGTTTTAGAAATGTACATATCAATTTGGATTATGGGTTGATGTCAAATGAACAATCAGTGTCTAATCAGGATCATAAACAAATATTTTTGTAGAAATTATTGTCAACTTATATATGCACACTTGCAGAAATAAAACTTTTGTGTTTATGAGCCAATCAAAAGACCTAATGTTGCATATTTTTATCAAAATTTGAAATCAGTTATTCATTGAGAATGAA